ATGTGAAGTGAGTGAGGAAGATGTGCTCGACAGAGACAAGTGGAGAAGAGCAACCAATGCAGCTGACCCCAGGACAGTCTGGGACTAAGGCTGTGGAAAAGAAGAAGAAGAATTCCATTTACTGCTTCTACGGTGTTTTTACTAATCCTCCTATTCTGGTATTATTTGCAAACATTACTAGTTTAATAACTAAGCAAGAATCTAGATCATTGATAAATTAGGAAAAGTAGTGGTTCTTGTACACACCCAGTACAAATCCCTGTGGATATCCACAAATTACAGCACCCAAAATTTAGCATTCTCCCCTTATCTGTACTCTGTTTCCTATTTATCAAACATGTGTGCAATTTTAATACTTCCCCAAATACAGACTGACTATAATTTAAGAATAAAACTTTAATAAGAAGCTTTTTGTAATCATTGTCTTAATTTGGGTAATATCTGAAAAATACAACTGGTTTACTTACTATACCAGTGTCTAGATCATCTATATTAATTAATAACAGTAATTCTAGTACAAACCCCAGTGTTACTCCACTAAATTTGGCACCGCAGTTTGAATATTCACCCCTCATATTTACCTTCTGTTTTTTATTTAATTACCAATCCTTAATCCACTCATTTCTCTGAATGCCTACCACATGCAAATAGTAAATCAGTCATTTATGAGAAACTTTATCATGTTAACACCTCCTTACCGTGTGTACAATATGTGATATACCCTGAGGTCCTGGGGATTTATCTTGCTATCTTGCAGCTGTATAAATGGCTGACCCTGCGCTCTGACCCCAAGCTTCTCTCTGTGTCTGTGTGTCTCATGGAGAGCAAGCCGGGGTATGTGAAAAGGCAAATTACTAATACAAGAAATTCATAAAGTGATCTTATCTTATTTAATAACTTTGTCCCTCCCCTGCCTGAGGTATGTTCTTCTGGAATGACGACGTGTGTGGAATACTCATTAACTGCATCACCGATTTGGTTTTCACTGTCTAGTGTTTTTTTTTGGTGGTGTGGTACTGAGATTTTGTTGTTTATTATATATGTTTTTATTATTTAGCCTTCATTGCAACATTCCTTCCCATCTCCCTCTTGGCCTTTTAGCCTGTTCTTGCAATTCATTTTCTTAAGCTGGATCCTGCTGGTTTCGAATCATTTGATAAAGAGCTTTCTTTTCCGTAAATTGATTTGTTGGACTGTTTGGGATACTGTTTTGTAGCTTTTCATTTACTGAATTACTATTTGGGAATTGAGATTTACTGTTTACTCACTGTTTAAACCGTTGCCACTCATTCTCCACTGATTCCACATTTATCTTATCCCATTTTATTTCATTCCTTCATTTTGTTTTTTCTTACATTGTATTCATATCCTGAGTGAATTCAAAGAATACATATTTGTCTTTTCAGGAAGTAAGCTATTAGAATTGAGTTGAAATCCTAGAAACTTCATTAGCTAGGTATTATAGCCATAACCTGCAAGCAACATGTGTTACTACTATAAATATTTTACTAAACATCTACAAACAGAAGTAAAAAACTCAAGTTAATATTTTTCAGAAAGTAGTATTTCATATGCCTTGTGCATAAACAATTACCGTAACTTTTAAAGATCTTTTTTTAATCCCTGCTGATGTTTATGTGACATTTTGGGGAAAAAGAAACTAAATGCTGCCCTCTCCTGTTTATTGTGAGAAGTGCCCAGGAGAGGAAATTTTGTGCAGCACTGTTTTTTACTCTGTGTTGTGGAGTGACACTCTGTCATATAGCTTTAATTCCATCTTAGATACCTTATGAGCTATTTAAATAGTAATGTCCCTCTATTACCACTGTCTGCAAGTCTTTACTCAATGAGAGTTATACAGTATGTTGCCTATGAAAACTAGTGGAACCTGGTCCTCTAGTAGTATTAATAATAATAATAATAATAATAATAATAATAATAATAATTGTTTACACTTATATAGCACTTTTCTGGACACTCCACTCAAAGTGCTTTACAGGTAATGGGAACTCCCCTCCACCACCACCAATGTGCAGCACCACCTGGATGATGCAACGGCAGCATAATGCTCCAGTCCGCACCCCACACACCAGCTCTCACTGGGGAGAGCAGAGTGATGAAGCCAATTCATAGACGGGAATTATTAGGAGGCCATGACTGGTAAAGGCCAGTGGGAAATTTGGCCAGGACTCTGGGGTTACAACCCTACTCTTTTCGAGAAACGCCCTGGGATTTTTAATGACAACAGAGAGTCAGGACCTTGGTTTTTACATTTCATTCAAAGGGCAGCGCCATTTTACAGTGTAGTGTCCCTGTCACTATACTGGGGCATTAGGACCCACACAGACCGCAGGATGAACCCCCACTCTACTGGCCCCACTAACACCCCTTTCAGCAGCAACCTTAGTTTTTCCCAGGAGTCTCCCATACAGGTACTGGCCAGGCTCACACCTGCTTAGATTCAGTGGGCTGCCAGTTATTATAATAATAATAATAATAATAATAATTGCTTACACTTATATAGCGCTTTTCTGGACACTCCACTAAAGTGCTTTACAGGTAATGGGGACTCCCCTCCACCACCAGCAGTGTGCAGCCCCACCTGGATGATGCGACGGCAGCCATAGTGCGCCACAACGCTCACCACACATCAGCTCTCAGTAGGGAGGAGAGCAGAGTAATGAAGCCAATTCAATTCATTTCAGTTGTGAGTTGCAGGGTGATATGGCTGCTGGCAGTCATTAAATACTGAATATCACTGTGTATAGTAAAAAAACATTCAATACAGGTCTATTATAAAGATTATTTTTCATCCATTTTATGCTGATTTCATATGCAAGTGCACCAATTCATACGTTCAGCCCAAATGAAAAAAGCAGTTTAGGTGAAGACTAGGTTGGTTTCTAAAAAGTTTTATTTTTAAAAGGTGCATTTTTGACATCACTTTGATAGGAGATTAAGTAAGGCTGCATCATTTTTAAATTTTAATTTGTTTATTAATTACAGCCAATAGAATATAAACAACTGACGTTTAAACCAAAATGGATGCGATCATGCTGGATTATGCTGAACCACAGATACTGTGGCTTACAGAGTATGAGTTCACGGTTAATCCTCATCACTTCCAAATGCAGCCGGATCAAAATCTGGATCGTCTTCATCGAGCTCTAGATCGTCCATGTCCTGGAATAAAGACTCGTCCACTTCCACATTATTTCCAGCTGTAAAAGACAAATATTTAAATATTTTCAAATTAGCATATTAGCATAGCATATTCGAATTAACTATGTTCATATTTCCATAATCAAATTTAAAAAAACAATTTGTTAAGCTACCCACCTTCCTCCAGAAATTTAATGTCAGATGTGTCAAGATTGTGGTCTGTTTCAAATAATTGTTTACCTGAAAAAAAAAAAAGGTCAGGTTAATTTAACACTTTTTTAAAAATGCTTTTCTGGTTATTTATATTACTAGCCTCAGTTACTGCAATACATTACAGTGTTCAAGAGATTTCACCATAGCAAAAACCTCACCAGTGTGATGATTACACTGCTGTTCTTCATTGACATATTTTGTAAACATATAGAGGAGGCTTTGCCATGGACTGTTCAGGTCAATTACTCTTATTATACACCTAAATAAAACCGGATGATCAAGATAAGAAAAACACAACAGGCTTTCCATATGCATAGATAACTCTTCATATCATCAGGGTTCAATATTCTGCACCTCTTTACTTTGATTGTAGCTCCGTCACCAGCCAGCTGGGACTAGGATTCCTGAAGGTACTGCCTAGAACTGGCCGAGAGCAGCCAGAGCCATGCGATGAGGACTGGCCTGGTATACTTGGCATGGGACGTGCCAGTTGCCCGAAAGCTAACATGTTGCCAGTGTGGGCCGCACCTATTCTCCTATCAATGCTAGTTCTTCTGTATAGGCCCTGTGGGCATCATGGGATTAAAAATGGCAGATCACCCCGACAGGTGCTCATTTCTGCACAGAAATGTACATGGAATAGACAACATCCTCCCACAACAAGGCTCACTCAGCCAAGATGATTAACAACTGATGATCTGCAATTCTTTCTTGGGTGAGAACAATAACCTGTAATCACTGTAACCTGGCGAATGTATCATTAGACGAGAACAATGTGCCTACCAGTAAGTTTACACTTCCCAGATTGCTCCTCCTCTTTCATTTTTTTCCTTTTCAATTCTGTCATCTCGAGCTCAAACCTTGCTTTCCAAGAGAGGAAATTTTCAATTGTGACAGGCGTGCCATGGAACTGGACCTGTATAAAAAGATAAAAACACAGACCACTGTGCTTAGAAAACTGCAAAAGCAAGCAAATGATGATTGATCCAATGCTTCAATTTCAAAGTAGTTATTATTAATTGAAATCAAACTAGTCACATCAAAAGCCATCTTGCATGGTGCTTAAAAGATCAAACAAACCATAGTGAATTTTCACTACACATAATTTGCATAATTTCAGAAAAGCCAAAATACAAAACGTGTGAAAGATGCATCTCAGTGTCATCTTTAGTTCGCGACAGAACAATTTGTGCAAAGATTTCCTATACAGACCTTCTCCGCTTCCTCTGCCTCTTTCTCTTTCCTTCTCTTCTCTTCCTCTCTTCGTTTTTTTATCTGGTCAACAATTTCATTTAGTTTTTCCTGCACTGCAGTTACTAATGTGAATATCATCACCATTCCAAGATTTTCTTCTGCCTGTAGGCAATGAGAGAAAAAAATGTTCATAGACAAAAAATTTGTCAATACTGTAAAAAACAGATGAAAATCAAGATGTCACAGACCACAAACATAAAACCCTCTAGCTGCAACACCTTAACACCTTTTTTCATCTCTCTAAAACTGAAATCCACCACCTAAGCTCTATGAATCCATATTCCAATATACTGTCCTGTTTTTAACATTTAACATTTTATTCAATCTGTATACTCAAACTGAAGACTTTTAAGGGTAAGTTACAGTAAATACCAGCAAAAGCAAAACAGAAACAAATGAAATATGTTGACTGAAAAATTGAATATGCCGATTTAGAACACCAATCACATGATCCTATTCTGTCACCGATTCAGCGATCATATTCAGATCGTCTCCAAGTTCAGTTGGGGCACTTTTGCTCATTCTTCGTGGCAATTTTCTTGAGATTTGCTCAAGCTCTCTCTAGGTGCTTGGTGATCACATATGGACAGCAAGTTTTCAAGTCTTTCCAGAGATTATCAATCGGATTGAACCATTTAAGAATACTTTCTTATTCTTAAGCCACTTAAGGGTAGCTTTGGCCTTCTGCTTTTAGTCACTGGCTTGTTGAAACCTGATCCTTTCTTCAATTTTAGATATGAAGCAGTTTTTTTCTTCAAGATTCGCCAATACTTTTCTCCATCTATGTTCCTATCAGCCTTTAGAAATTTCAAGTTCCATTTGTCCGCCTTGCCAGTTTTCTCCTTGCCTAGCTGCTCAGTTTGAAGGGAAAGCCTGATCTAAGCCATATGTGAGTGCCTCCCATTTCTTATGACTTCATCATGCTCAAAGAGATATTAAGGATCTCTGAAAAGGCACCTTTTCCTTATCTGTGCCTTTATACAACTTTATTACTGAGTTGTTCTGAAAGCTCCTTGGTCTTCAGTTGAATCTTTGGATAAATTCACCATCTAACTGAAGGACCTTACAGAAGGAGAAGTATTAATTCTGAAAACAAGTGAACCATAACTAATGCAAACAGAGGCCACTCAAATAATTTTATGGCACATCAAGGTAATTATGTGCACTTTTACGTAATTTAGGTTTGCCACAGCAAAGGGTTTGAATATAAAACACTTAAACTTAAAAACTTTTCCATTTCTCTATCACATTTATTACCCATTTTCTTCTCGTTTTGTTTTTTGCTTTGAATGTGTGGAATAGGTTATGTATATACTGCTATTGAAAAGTGTCATGACTTCATGTTTTAAAGCAACAAAAGTGAAAACTATGAAAGGGTCTGGATGAAACTACAAAAATAAAGGCACAATTAACTGAGGGTTTGGATCCATTATTAAATATTAATTAGTTATTTTGATCAAATCAGAGTTAAATAGTTGTCATCTTATGAATACAGCATGACAGCCAAACCCAATATAAAGATAATAATAATATAATAATAATAAACTTTATTTTATATAGCGCCTTTAAAGGTGGCTTCTCAAAGCGCTTTACAGGATGACAATAACAATAAATAAGAAGACTACAACAATAAATAAGAAAATTTCACAAGACAGGACACAATTAAAATTACAACAATACAACAATAACAATAGAGGAGACCGTGGAAGATGGTATTAAGAAGAGCAGAGGGGTGAAGAATGGAACCAGTTAAGTAAAGGCTTTTCTGAAAAGGAGGGTTTTGAGTCTGGATTTGAAGGAGTTTAGAGAAGGTGACTCTCGGATATCCTTGGGCAAAGAGTTCCAGAGCTTGGGGGCGTATCAGGAGAAGGCCCTGTCGCCCATACAATGTAGACGGGCTTGGGGGACAGTAAGGAGGGCAGAATTTGAAGAGCGGAGGTTGCGAGGTGGGGAGTAGGGCGATAAAAGTTCAGACAGGTATTGAGGTGCCAAGCCATGTAAAGCCTTGTAGGTGAGCATGAGGATTTTAAAGTCTACGCGGAATTTGACCGGAAGCCAGTGCAAGGACTCCAGGATAGGAGTAATGTGAACACTTGCACTAGACCTGGTCAGGATTCTGGCTGCTGAATTTTGGACATACTGCAGCTTGTTCAGAGTAGATTTAGATACCCCAGGGAGCAGAGCATTGCAGTAGTCAATTCGAGAGAATACAAATATGTTGATCAGCTTTTCAGCCACAGTTAATGATAGCATAGGGCGGAGTCTTGCAATATTTCTAAGGTGAAAAAAAGATGTTTTGACAGTATGCTGTACATGTCGGTCGAATGTTAAGCCAGAATCGAATATAACCCCAAGGTTTTTCAATTTTGATTGGAGCTCAAGTACAGAGCCATCTACAGACAGGGTTACAGGACTGGCTTTACGAAGTTGATGGGGGGTACCAATAAGCATGACTTCAGTCTTGTCACAGTTAAGATGAAGGAAGTTTTGAGTCATCCAAATTTTTATGTCAGAGATGCAATTAGATAGAATAGAGACAGCCACATCAGTGTCGGGTTTGGTATGGATGTATATTTGAGTATCGTCAGCGTAAAAATGAAAGCTGAGGCCATGTGATCTTAAAAGCTGACCAAGTGGGAACATGTAAATGCTGAAGAGCAAGGGGCCCAGTATTGAGCCCTGAGGGACACCAGACTTGACAAGACCAATTTCAGACCTGTACCCATTGAGAGAGACAAAGTGACAGCGATCAGTGAGGTAAGACTTAAACCATTTGAGGGCAGTGTCAGAGACTCCAAACACAGTCTCGAGACGAGAAAGCAAGATGTTATGGTCAACAGTGTCAAAGGCAGCACTGAGATCAAGAAGGATGAGTATGGAAAGAGAACCAGAATCAGAAGCTATTAGGAGATCGTTGGTGACTTTGACTAGGGCGGTTTCTGTGCTGTGAAGTTGACGGAAGCCAGATTGGAGGGGTTCGAAAAGGTTGTTTGTCATGAGGTGGTTATGTAACTGAAGTGTGACAGCACGTTCTAGAATTTTAGAGAGAAAGGGTAAGTTGGAGATGGGGCGAAAGTTGTTAAGATTGTCGAGAGCCATGTTAGGCCTCTTTGGCACTGGGGTAATAGCAGCAGTTTTGATACCTAAAGATACCTAAAATCAATCACCACTTTGTTGTTTTTTTTTTACTAATAATATGAAACAATAAAACGTATGCAGGCCCAAGAATGGACAATGGTGTGATAGTTTGCAACATGTCAGATACTGTATATGTCAGGAACTGCAGCAATCACTTTACAGACCATCAACCTGTTCTTACAGGCAGATGTGAAGCACAAAAGGGTGTTTCAGTTGCCAAGTGAAAATGCACAGGAATACAATGGGAGACATCTCTTCACCTGTTGCTGTAATAGTGTTAGTATGTCTGTGATGTCACTGTCTTCAAGGTTATCCTGTGAAAAAATTTCATAAAGTGGAGGTTCATCGGGATACGTCTCTACATACGTAAACTTCAAAGTAGTCTGAACAGCTAGAAAAAAAGAAAGAATTTTCAGTAAGCATACATCAAAAAAGATCATGGATTTTGCATAACAATCAAATTTTAGTTTAAATTTGCAATGTTAGTTTCTGTTATAATGATATATTCTGATACAGTTAGTTATTTATACAAAGTCACTTTATCACAAGTGAAATATCCATATTTGCAAACATTCATTATCCTTTCATAAATAAATAATACCTTCTGAAAACAGCTGTGCACCACAAACACAACCATGATGACCCCACTTCTAAAGGTCAGAGGGCAGTGTTTTTATTTCTAATTGAATGACTGACACTGTGTGAAGTAACTCCCTGGCTGAACAGATAACATTCTGTGGATGTTATAGACACCTGCATGTTCTGCCATGTTTACCTTTGACAGTTTTTTCTCTTGCTTCTCCGCAAAGTCGGTATAACCAGTTCTGTTAGCTTTGAGCTACCAAGATCTATGAAAACTTCATAAATAACTGGTCAGTGACTGATGGCAGAACATCCAGTGCCATAAAGATTTCCATCAGGCTTCTAACAGCATTTGATTAAAACAGCAGCACTGTAAATATAATCTACCTGAATCACCAAATAGATTCCTCCCATGAGTAAGTAAATATAACCAAGAAAGCAGTGACACAAATGGTTTAAGAAAATCTAAGACAATCAAAAAAAATGTTAGTTAAAAAATTGAATGTACTGCAAGTACAGGTAAAAATAAAATATCAGAAAGGAAAAGAGCTGTGATAGTCTAAGTGTTTCAAAGAGAATAGGAAATAAAAAGGAAACGACTAATATATTAAATTAGATCTGGTTCTGGAGATCTGCAAGTTAATTTAATTCAGCAACCAAATGAACTAGATGGGCTGAATGTCCTCCTCTCGTTTGTAACTTTCTTTATATACAGTATGCATATATACTGTACTTAAACATCGATTTGTGTTTATGTGCATATTTAATATTTTATAATAAAATATTTTGGTTTTTGTGAATATGCATGATACAATCGATACACACACAACAAATATTCAGGAACAAGTAATGGTGACCCGAAGTGACACCCGAAGAAGGCTTCACAGCCGAAACGTTGTGTTTTTTTCCTCCCTTTTCAGCACAGAATAAACCTTTAAGTGTTCCTTTGCAGTCTACGCATGCTGACTCAGCTAACTACTTGAGCTTCAACAGAAATTCAGTACTTACTTTCATCATTTTCGCCTGCGTCAGAAGTCACAGTAATAGTAAAACTTGAAGGGTTTTCTGAAAGCACTGGCCATAAAAAGAACAATACAAATTAACCATTACAATACTATTAAATTACTAAATAACAACAACAACGTATATTATACGAGATATGGATATGTATCAAATAAGGCTTATGCATGTATGGATTTGATAGCTTTTATTAACATATAAAAGATAACCCGTACGTTTGTACAGAGAATGTGGAAATGTATAAGCCTGAGTTATTATCGGAAATGCTCGAATGTTTTGCGTCTACATTTAACTATTGCATTGTATATTCACGCACTGCATAACTGATTTTGCTGCATAAACTGAAGCTGCTTTATGCGACTGCCCAGCTAGCCTTGCAAACATAACGCTTCATTAAAAACCAAACAGCACTGGAACAATAGCACCTAATATATTACGACATATCTAATTTTGTAGCAGATATCGTTTTTCGAAAGCTTAGAAAATAAGAAAAAATAGGAAACCCAAGTACAGATTCCTGACAGAACTTGCTGCAGCTGCAAACACTACACGTTTTCTCTGAAATTTCTACAAACTCTATGCTTAGTTTAAAAATATTACAGTACATACCTGTAAACGAATCCGGGTATATGGACTCCAATGCCTCCAACTCGTTCCTCTGCTCCTCTCCGTAATCTGTCATTTTTTCTCACAATTTCCCATTGATTACTATATTACAAAAAATACAAATGAACAACCCGCAAATGAGGCCTGAAAGAGATCGACTTCTCGGCAATCACGAGTCAGGTCTTCATCGCTGTTGATAAAACGCGTTTAAAAACAATATTGGATGAATAATTATTTCTGTATACAATGAAACACTCGGAATATTTTCTTTGTATTTTATTTTTCATTTCTAATGCCATTTTTATCGTATTTAGTTGTATCTTTAATTGATTAGTCTGGGCCTTACGTGGAAGGTCGCACACTAGTCACATGGCATGGGTGTATAGTTTGGAATGAAGAGTTTGTAGGTGGTGAGCTGTAGCACGTTAAAGTATAGTATTCTGTGTGGTGCGATTTATATGTTAATTAGTTTGTATACGTTAACGATACGTTAAGAATTGCGGGAATACTTCTTCCTGTTTTCAATACGAGATATACTGGAGTACTAACCGAAAATTAATGTAGGTTTTTTGTATTTGTTGTCCTGATCACTTTGTCAAATATTTAAAATGATCTTTCTGCTGTCCGCTAGAAAGCATCAAAATATTGGTGTTCGCAGGGCTGTATCAGGGCTCGAGAGAAAATAGTGCATTTATGTCCAGTCTGGGTGCCGGGGGGTCGGTGTGTCTGCTGGTCTTCATCATTATATCATCATAGCTACCCACCTGAACAATCATGCTCATGCCCATGCCCATGTCAGGCCCCCTTGTAATCTTTACTGTTCAAGACTAAAGGGTCCGTTTCTTCAGCCTGTCAGTGTTGAATATACCCTTAAGGCTGCAGATATTTGGTTTGTCTTCTGTGGACAGATTCCTGAGCAGCAATATATTTCCTATAACATGGCGATTAAAATAGTATACACTCTTCTAAGTGTGGCCTAATTGGTGCATTAGACATTTTAAACATAACATTCTTTGATTTTGAACTCTACATTTATGAAGTATATATTATTTTGTTTGCCTAATTTACTGCTTTTCTACATCGTCTAGAAGATTTAAATTAATATTAATTAAGAAGGGCAGTGGTCCAAGTACATACCCCCATAGTACAGTAATTCACTATTTCCTCAGTTTGAATATTCATCCCATATTTTTACCCTCTGTTTTCTATTTAATAACCAATCCTCAATCCAAACACTAATTTCCCTGAATGTCTGTAAAATGCAAATTGTAAATAAGGCTTTTTTTAGGAACTTTATAAAAAAAAAATCAGAAAATCTAAATACACCATATTGCATTTCATGTGTGTATCCATTGCAATTGTTGTTTGTCCAAATAATAAATTGGTAAGACCTACCTTTTCTAAATCCATCATGAACACCATGCCACCCCCAACCCGAAAATTACCAAAACAATTCCATTTTGTATGCTAAAATATGAACACTAAAGTCTTCTGTTAGGATACTGCATCACACAACTAGCTTAAAAGCTCCATTATTGGAGAATACTTTGTTGTTTATTAATATTATCAGAAAGAAACAACAATATATACCTGGGTTTGCAAAAGCAATATATCGCACAGAAAAGTGATTGTTTCGCCGAGGCCATATCAATCACAATAATATTCAATTTAACTTTTGCATGCACACATTGGAGCCAACGGAAGGTTACAGTAGTAGAAAATAGAATGAGAGGAGATTTAGCACCACTAGATGGCAGAGACTTGCACAGTCTTCTTAGTGAAGACCAGAGGGAAAATGGTGTTTGGGATAAAAGAGCAGTTCTAGTAGGCAAACTTGTTATGCCACACCCATAGATGGAAAATAGGGTGCAGCAAATTGGTAATTACCAGAGTCAGTTCAGTGGCAAAGTTTTAATGGTTTATTGAACAAGAAATTGAATAATAGGAGAAATTAGAATGGGAAGAGTCCTGGGGCAAAACCAGCAACTCCACATGCTATTGTGACTCAATATCTGAGCATAAATAGTGAATGCGGTTCCTAATTAGTGGATAAGCCTGGCCTGTGCTTAATTGAGTTGGCCCTGATGAGCTCCTTCCATGTGTGGAATGTTGAGGAGGTGTTGATACCACAATACTGCAGGTCATCAGGGCTCATCAGAGATTTCCAGGGAGCAGGTGGTTGTGCTGATGACAGTCTGGTCAACTCTTGGGGCCTTATAACCAGTGCTGCTCACATAGAAGACAGCAGCTATATCACCCTACAACTCACAACTGGTAACACACTGAAGCTAAGTAGGTGTGAGCTTTGCCAGTACCTGGATGGGAGACCTCCTGGGAAAAGCGAAGACTGATGCTGGAAGAGGTGTTAGTGGGACCAGTAGGGGACACTATACTGTAAAAAAGCGCTGTCCTTCGGATGAGATGTAAAACCAAGGTTCTGACTCTCTGTGGTCATTAAAAATCCCAGGGCGTTTCTCGAAAAGAGTAGGGGTGTCCTGGACAAATTTCCCATTGGCCTTTACCAATCATGGCCTCCTAATAGTCCCCATCTATGAACTGGCTTCATTACTCTGTCGGTGCTGGTGTGGGGTGAGCGTACTCTGGCCGCTGTTGCTTCATCCAGGTGGTGGAGCGTGATAGTGAAGGGGAGTCCCCATTACCTGTAAAGCATTTTGAGTGGAGTGTCCAGAAAAGTGCTATATAAGTTTATTATTATTATTTTTATGATTGCCTGTAGAGTGAAATCAGAAAGAAGAGGAATAGATATCTGAGGGAAGGGCAAAAGGGTTGTTAAGGTAGAGTGAAAAAAGATAGGGATGAGGGGGGGCATGCATACAGTAGATACATTGGTTAGTCTTAACAATGCAATGGCTGTGCAGTTATTAGGTGAAGGCTGTCCTAAGTATACAGTATATTAATAATACCAATCATGCATCTCAGCTATAGACTTGGCAAACCTATCACATGCTCATTCCTCACACCGGGACTTGTTTATATTCAGCAGAGGTGAAGGAGAGAGTAACTTCTAATACTCCTTGAGCACTTGGGTATATACCGTACTCTTGTACTCTTCATGGGATTCCATAATTCACACTTCGGACCTTTGACCAAGGTGTTATATGATCTGTCTACAGCTGCAGTAATAGAAAGTATGACCAATTAAACTCTCCCAAAACATACAGTAGTCTCTGTAGTATATTCAAATATATATTTATCTTCTTCCTCCCTCTCTTCATCTGCTTTTCCATCTACTGGAGTAGTTTTCGGACCTGTGCAACCAGCTATCCTTGGATCGTGTGACAATTCCTGTTGCAATCTGGACAGTTCTTAGAGGGACATAAATAGCATGCACATCATAAGCATCACAAAGTTACCATATTTACATTATACAAAAAAGTATTTGTTTGGACCCAGATGGAAAATTCCATCTGCAGCCACAGAGTGTGTTTGTGGACATTGGGATGGTTTACTGGATCCATAGGGAGAGGTGAAACAGAGCTCACATTGACATCTTAATCTGTGAACTATGTTTCCCCTGACAGGACCGCTCTTCCATGCCTGGTCCCCAGAGTAAGGAATGTCTTTTTACCCTACTTTTACCCCATGATAAAAAACAGGTATCAATATAAGATAAGATTTTATTGTCCCCTGAGGGAAATTGTTTATGGACACACAGCACTCCTGTACATTTAAATAGAATGCAAACACAAAAAAGAAGAAGAAAAGAAAAACATTGCACATTATGCTATTACAAAAAATAAGAAAAACATTGCACATCACTCTATTGCACATGTAAAGTAGACAGCATAACAACGTGTAACATTTATAACACATCACAAAACATATTGCGCTTTGAGTTGTTGTAACAGACAAATAAGTTCTGGATTCCGAGATGAAGTTTAAAGAGATTGGTTTTATTGCATGCAAGGAACAATAAAACCGAAGTATTATTCGAAATACCGGTACAAAACTTCCAGTTTAAATAGCACTTTTCAGCAGCTTCTGGCGGTAGCTCGTTACCATGGTAACGGGGGAGGTCGCGGTGTTCGGACAGCCCCCAGGCTCTGACCACTCTTAATGGTCAGTTTTAGGTTTCCTTCCTTGGGGGGGGGGGGTTTCTAGCTGGCATCTGGAATCCTTATCAGTTATTCCACTTTCCTGCCTTAACTTGCCTGGAATGTCTTGTGTCACAAGAAGTCCAGTCCTTGTGCAGAAAGGAATCAGTTAACCCCTTCTTTACTTCTTATATCTTTATTCAGAGTCAAAATTGTGTTCATCCTTGACATTTGCGTTGACAGCTTTAATGGATAGTGGAACAAAGGAACGTTTGTATCTGTTTGACTTACATTTGGGAACCCTAGAACGTTTGCCAGAAGGAAGAAGTTGATATTCACAGCTGAGGATGTGGGAAGGATCTTATATCATTTTTCCAGCCTGTTTGATTTTGGATTTTTCAAAGATTGTCTGCGGGGAGGGATGCTGTTTCACTCCCATGACCTTCAAAGCTGTCTGGAAGAGGTGGTAATTTGTGATTTTAAATGAACTGATAGATTACCAAACCACACTGTAATACCATTTCTGATAATGCTCTCCATTACAGCATGGTAAATGAGTAGCATTACATCCTGTCGAACCCCAAACACTCTTAGTCTTCCCAGGAAATATAAGCGCTGCTGAACATTGGAGCAAACACTCTCAACATGAGTAATCCAGCACAGGTTACAGTCTAGACTCTATGTGTACACCTAAGTACTTATAATGTATCAACCTGAGTGATAAGTTCGTTGTGGATTACTACATGTGAGTGATCACCAACTGCTCTGGGATCAAAAACTATTTCTTTTATTTTTTGTATTACATTTGTTTCATTTTGCAGTTGTTTTATTTTTCTTTCAGGCTCTAATTCTCTCTATACACAAAAAAAAGACTTTTCCTGTCCTTTCTTTTCTCTGACCATTCCACCACTCCAACTGATAATAACCTTTCTTCTGGTTGTGACAGTTCTTAAGCTCTTTTCTTCATATAGGCCCCTCTACATTGTATGAAATATTTTATTTTCATCTAGATTCTGTGGCAGTTAGCACAGATGTACAGGTAATGAACAAACAAATGGATACACCTGGGAAAATGGGGGATACTGAGCATTTTGAAAGCAAGACTTCCACACAGGTATGGCTTTTGCATTAATTTAGCAAATAACATCCCAGCATGCTTAGGGTTATGTATAAAAATGATGGACAGGCCTGATTACCTATAATTATGGCCAGTATGGTTCAGGAGGAGACCTCAAAGTCTTTAAAAGAAGGTAATTACTAGGGAATGTTTGACAGGAGCTTCAGCTTCAGACCAAGACAGCTCAACTTGCTGATGTTACATGAGCAGCAGTCTAAAGTGATGCCAGCATGAAACTCCAAGGGATAGACATCAGCAGTAAAGGCCTCCATGTGTAGAAGAGGATACCCCAGGTCTGGGATATCTGTACACAGGTTTAGTGTGTAAGAACAAACAGACCAGTAACTGCAGATCAATTAACTTCAAATTACAACCTTAGTCAGAAACAGGCTGCTGAGAATTGCACAGAGTGGAATATCATAGTCGAAACTGGTCATCGCCCCTGGCAGTGCACATGTGCAAATCATGTGGTGCAAAGGCAGTGGACCACTGAGCAGTAGAGAAATGGGACCTGGTCAGATGAATCACCCTTCACCATGTTCTCTAAGACAGTAGTATACACTTCCATCAAATAGGTGTGAGTTGATTGGCTTTTGTCACGATCGCTAACCCCTCCTCTTAAGGGAGCTCCAGCCCTTCCTCGTTCCTTCCCATTGTCTTCACCTGTTCCCTATTCCCGTTCCCCCTTTAAAGCCAGACGCTGACCTCACTCCGGGTTCCTCATTGATTTCCACATCATGAGAGCCCGGGGTCTTGCTGCGTCTGGCTCCGTTATGCTTTTAACGTTCTGTTCCTAGTTCCTGGTTCCCCTCGCCGGTTCCGACCCGGTTCATGTTTTAACTTCCTGGATGGATCCCCTGGCCTTGGACTCTCCCCTTTGTCTCGGATTACTCTTTTGGATTTCCTACATGGATTGTTCGCCTGGATTCACTTCCCCTGGACACCTGCACTCCATGGACACGCCCCCCGTCTCCAGACCCTTATCCTGCATGACTATTTTTTCCCCTTGTGTCTTCACTTTTCTGGATTGCGTCGTCCGCATAGGGCCTGGAAAGAACTGTTCGTTACAGCTTTCTTGTGAAACAATTGTTGCATCCCTCCTGCAGAATTCCGTATACTGGTAGACTCCATGCCATGGCACATACAGGCCTTACTGGTTACATGTGGTGGCCCAACAACCTATTTAATGACTTTGCATTGGTGCTTCCATTTCATTGTTTACTCCCTGTGATATGGCTGTTGGAACTCCTCCAGGATGCTCCACATGTCACACAAGCTGCTGTAGTGATGTTAGGGGATTTAATTTACTGAAGAATTTAGAAATGAGAAAAGTAAATTGAGAGAGTGCTTTGGCTACTGTTAGAAATCAGTCTAATGCAATAACACGCAACTAGACATGCAGATCCTAAATATACAACACACAATTTATAAACACAACACCAAAACATGCATAGCGCACCAACATGTGCTGTTTACAGATGATTTATCATTCACTCAGGGATTACAGAGATAATCATTAATAATGTCACAGTTAAAATATATTAACTATAACATTCGTTATTGTCTACCTCTGAGGTTATATCAGTTTCAAATAGTTAATCCCATTCATACACTCAAAGACAAGTAAATATGCATTGGGATCAAGACTTTATCAAACATGTTTAGAATAGTAGTTTTATACTAAAAAATCCACTGGCCAAACATTTCAAGGGTTTTGAATTTCCTACTGAAAATGGACCTAGACTGCTTTCGTTGCAGTGGTCCAATCTCCTTCAGTTTACTGGGTCTAGGCCAGTAGTGTCCTGGTGTGCAGAGAGAGAGGAGGGGAGTAAGATTGTTTAGCTGCTGCTGGAAGAACAAGAAAGCTAACAGTGTACTCACAGTGTCTGACTTGGTCCGGCCTTAAGTGATATCAGTTTGTCCCTGCTATACCTCTATACTGAATATGCTGTGATATTCAGAATGCCAGCAAAAAGAGTTAAACTCTTAATCATTTTGTTGATCAGGTGAAATATCTATTACTGTAGTTCGCATGTCGCAAGATTTCTTTTGTTGCAAAAAGATTTGTAGGCAGAATTCAGTTATGCCTGGCTAGGCCTGGCATCTTGAATAAAGTTAAAGTCCTGAATCTGACAACTTGCAGTCCCGTGATTGGCGATGTTGTCAGATTGCAAAGTTAGATGGAAAGAGCAAGAAGCTGTCCTTTTAAACCAGATGATGATTGGTTGTGATGTTTCCAGGTGGCGTGGTATCCACACCCTGCATGTTCCTCATTGGTTTGTCATCTTTTGGATGATTGACTGTGACCTGCAGCCTAAGATCATTGCTCAGTTGTGGTAGTACAGTATGTCTGTGGACACATGGGCATTCACACCTGTGCATCCATCCGCCATGAAGAGTACCCTCCTGGTTTGTGTCACAGTTGCAGGATGTGCTGCTTTTTAGAGATGTCGTTTTCAGCTGCATTCCTAGTGCTTTAGACAGAGTCCTGAGCTTTTAAGTTATCTTCTCAAGGTCAAAGAAACATTATTAGAAATCTTCAATAATAATAACGTCTTAGTGTGATAATATGTCTTGCTGCTACACTGAAGATTACTGGTTTAAACATTTTTTTTCAGGTTTGAAGTGTACAATACATTTGGAGAATTATTTTTTTGGAGATGGCAGCTCAAATGCTGTCAGCCTCCGAGCCTAGAATTGGCACCTCTGACTAATCTCTATCTGTCACCTACTGTATCACTGCAGGTAGTAATAATAATACAATTAGAGGGGAAGAGAGAAATTACATAATTTGCCAGAATAATTCTTTGTGATAACAGAATTTGAAAGATAATTTTTTTTGCAAACAGTGTTCTTTTGAGATGTTTCTTGAACAGCAGAAAGAAACAACTTTGTTAGAATGTTAGAAAAGCACTTTCAAAACAGTTTCAAAAAGTTATGTCAGAATACAAACAGACCTATTTGTATCTGTGACACAACTGCATGTTTTTTCAAAAGCAGAGAGTACTTCAAATACTGTAATCTTTGAATTTTGTACTGTATAGCCATGGGCTTGCAATGTCAGCTTTCTTACCTGTACCTAGAGGAGGACGTTTTTACATGCAACGCTGTCCACAAAAGGGGATTTTTCTTTTGTTTTAGAATCAGTGATTATTTTTTCGCCGTATCACTTCTTGCACACTTCAAGTAATAAATGATCCACTTATGAAAACCCTACCACAAATACAGGACACAGCATGTTTTTACATGATTCTGTAACACAGCCTTTTGAGGAGTTTTACACACCCAAGTTCTTCATGCACTCTGGTCCCACAGGCGTAGTAAAATACTCTTCCTTTGTGCTGCTGACAGCTATACTGTACCTCGCAAGCTCTCTACATTTATCCCAGCATTCTCTTTTTACAAACAGTAAAATACAATACCAAAGATAAAAGGAAACTGCAGACCCACTATTAAAATTCAGGCTCAAGACAATTTCAGGACAATAACGTATTACCAATAATATCTAGCTAATGGAATGGATGGTATACAAATCCATTTACTTCTTAATATACGGTAGGACTCCATTAAAAGTAATTGCCCAAGCAGAGTGATTTTGGAAGTAAATAAATACACCTTGAACGGAGACACATGAGTTGTGCTAACTGTAAGGGAATACAATATGATTTGTGTTATGTTAATTGATTGTTTCTCAGAATACACTAAGAGTTGTCCTAACTTAAACTACTTTGGCTATTGTCAAGACTTGGATAATCCTATGTGTCAAAGACAAGACTTCATTTTCCTAAATTTATGTTTTACAACTGGAGGGTATCCAGACAAGAAACACAATAAATTTTAACGCACTGTGAGTGGTATTATTTTGTGTACCATGTTATTAAGAGTACCTAGGGTCTTGTATTAAAATGTTTAAAAATGTCTTTGAGTAAAAAAATGAAATGTTAGTTAAGGCATATTGTTATTATAACAGTTAATTGTTATAAGCTTGTATTTGTGCAAAGACATTTAAATTAGTTTTTTTTTTAACCAGGCTATTAGTGAAAATTGCACTGGAAATATTTTGAAGCATTAATTGTTGTAAAAATGTAGTATATTTTTAAAATGAAAGGCAATACATGTTTGACAAAAATATATTTTAGAGTTTGTTAATAATTCTGGTCAAAAACAGAATTGCATTGACAAAACTTAAGAAAGAATAATCTCTACATTGACAATTCAAAAGCAATAATACATAGTTCGTACGGGACTGACTTTGATATCTTGTGAAAAAAAATCCACAGCCTTTGCCATTACCATTTGCGCTACAGATGTGGTGCACACTAGCTTGGCTTAACATGGATTGTTATTATTCGGATTAGTATGGGGTGTTACAAAAACAACACAGTCCTTCAATTCAATTTAGAAATAAAATTGAAATAATAAAAAATAAAATAAAATACACAAAGAAAATTGAAATAAAAAATATTTTTAGAGAGCAGGAATTCATACTATTACAGTTCTGAATTGTAAATAATGGAACTTTATAACAGAGTTTGTGTTCTGTAGTCTTTAACAATGACTGTACATTCAATGAATAAAAAAAGGCTTACGATGCTTTATGGAGAGGGAACTTCCATCTCCTTAGGACATTTCTATTTCTTCTTCAAAAGCCAAAACTGGTTTTCTTTCATCTGTATGGTCCCTCTCTGCACGATCTACATACCTCTGCAAGGTGCTGTAGTACTGCTCACTTGTAGAGAAGGTGTACAGTTTTGAAATTTCTTCCCAGGCAGTGTGATCTGGGAAAGGGAATGCCTCAGGATCTCGGTTTTCAAAGAAGCTCTTCAGATTTCTGTTGGCCAGCTTGGTTGCGTAATCTTCGGCATAGTGTTCAAACTGTTCCTTTTCCTTCTCAATGTACCTTCTCCAGAAGGTGAGCTGTAAGTAGCTCACTTGAGATCGACAGTTATTACAGCAGATACCAATCAATCCGGCCGTTGCAGCACAAATAATGATACACCACCCTAGAATCTGACAACACAACAATAGTTTATTATTATTATTATTGTTATTATTATTGTAATTATTATTATTATTGGTGGCAGAGTGACGCTGTGTTTAGCATTGTCCATTTTGTTGCAGAGGCCCTGGGTTCAATTCTTTCAATTCTGAACTTGGGGCGCTCTCTGTGTGGAGTTTGTGTGTTCTCTGTGTGTTTCGTGTTTGTTTGTGTGCCCTGTGATGGACTTGCGGCCTGTCCAATGTGTAACCTGCCATGCAGCCGTTGCTTGCAGCATAGGCTCCTGCTCCCCCTTGCCCCCTGGTACAAGATCCCTGAAAAAAGTAGGTACAAATGAATGTGCTATATAATATTTCTGCACTGTACATCAAGAGCTTTTTTAGGATGATACTGTTTACACATTTGGAACACCATGTGCAGAGAGCATATGGAGGATTCTTCTTTGCTATGTCTCAAAATTTGCTTTTACCTTTGAATCCAGGATAATGGCCTCCTCTTTTTTAATCATCTACAGATATCAGATATTGAGCCTAGGATTTCAAATTGTATGTACGCATAACATAATTAGACCACACGCATAATCTGTCCAAGTGATTGGTTCTCCTCGTGTAAGGACGGGGCATTTCTTGCCTTCACACATAAGAGACAATTATATTTTAAAAGACAGGATAAGTTATTTGGGGCAGAGAAACTATTAGTACTCCAAAGAGCTTTCAATTGAATTCAGTTTGCCTTTATTAGCTATCTTATGGTGCCTAGTCAAGAAGAGCTCTGCTCAATGTTTTCACTTTGCTTCTTTATTCTGACAACTTTGTGTCTCAAAGTAATGGACTAGCTTCTCAGATAGTCTTGTTCCATCTGGTTCAGTCAAGGGCGGTAATAACCTAGCAGCTGATATTGATATTGGTCTTTATGCGTGCCTTAACCTTATCTTTAAAAGCAGTGTAGGGGTCAATTTTGAATTAAATTGACAATTGCTGATAAACCACAAAACTAAAATAGTCTCAACGATAAAGATTGGAATTTAAATTGGAATGAAAGGATGTAGAATTTAATTCCACAAATCCTAATTATTTTAAAAACTTGAATGCCTCATTTATTTTATATACTGTATCAATAGAAACAACACTAATGTGTTTGTACAATAGCCATATCTAAAACAGTAGAAAATTTAAATGAAAAAAAAAGATTTATTAAATGAGATGCCTGAAGTTTAAAGCAGACTGCTACTTTTTTCCATTCATTATCTAACCACGTATTTCAGTTTGGGGTTATAGGGGAGCTGGAGCCTGTCCCAGCAAGGTAGAAGAAAGGGTATGCTCTTTCCAGGACAACACACCAGTCCGTCGCAGGGCAGAGACGGACACAAACATACTCACACCAGGGCCTCTTTTCCCAGAAGACAATTAACCTGCCGGTGGATAGAAACCAGAGCACCCAGAAGAAACCCATGCAAACAGAGGAAGAGGGAACAAACTCCACACAGTTAGCATCCCAAATCTGGAACTGGGCCCAGAGTCCCAGCGCTGTGAGGCAGCCATGCTAACCACTGTGCCATAGTAACTCCTGTAACTGTTCATAATGCTCCCCAATCCTTCTTTGATAAGGCTTATCTTCAGAGACATGAAGATGGCAAAGATTAACCAAGAAACTCAGAACCATTTAATCTGAAATGAAAGGGAGGAGAATTGGGAGAGAAAATGTTCCCAAGTAGATGCAAAAAGAATAAATACACAAAACAATATATCCATCATAGGGCCAAGTCATTCATTTCTCACAGGTAAAAGCAAAAAAAAAGGCTACAATCCCTTGCAGTTATACTAGCAGGCAACTATGGAGTAAATTGAAACAGTTAATTGAAACAGCAGTAAAGGGATAAGACATAATTCCCAGATTGATTAGGGGATAAAATTGAATAAATGGGAATGAATAACAGCATTAAAAAATAATTTGCTTGAGGCATAGATTAAAATTCATTCCAAAAGTAAAGCAACACGCAGAGGCCTAAATGATTACATAGAGTAATTCATAAATATACAGCATATATCAGGAGAAAACAAGCACTATACGGGACAAAGGCCAAAAGCCAGGTTAAATGCATGATGAACTGCAAGCACAAGATGTTAGAAAGGCTAAGAGAGAGATCAAATGGCTGTAAACCAACAGTAAGGAATGAAGCGTCTTTTAGATATAATGGACTATGAATGGTTATGTAATGTAAATGTAAGGTTCTCAATAGGTTCTTCCTCTAAAACATTAAGCTGTTGTGAAAATTTTAATCAAAAGATGTTATAGTATAATTATACAAAGTATTAGTAAGACCTTAAACACAACATGAATTTTGCATTGATTTTAGTAACCACAGGACAAAAGGACTTTGCTGTGCTGGAATCAGTGGAAAGAATATTGACCAGCTGCCAAGCAGGGCTCAAAGACACATCCTACAGCACACTGACTAGATTCTGCCTAATTCTCCACATTTCCATGAAAATCATTCACATGACCTTTTAAATGCTTATCTTAAAATATTATTAATTAAAATATCTTTTTAATTAACTGACCAAAGAAATAAAGGCAATTAAGAACATGAGAAGTCTACACTGATAACAGAAACACCATTGGAGCATTTGCACTTTATAAGCACTTCACAAGCATTTACTAACTCCTCCCCCCCACACACACAGTTTCATCTAAATAATAAATGAAATACATCTTACTGCATATGCAAGTTCTGTCAACACACTGCTTATCTTTATGATCTTGTTTCTAATATACAGTAGGCCTGACACTTTCTGGATAACAAGAAAAGACAGTGGTCTTCTTAAACTTTTATGGGGAGGAGACCATTAGCAATCAGAGACATAGAAAGGCTGTTGTTTGTACTCATTAAAGAAATAATTGATATAATTAAGTCATATTTTCAGCTGCAATGGAATTTACAAGACGCATTGGCTCCCAGGACCAACATCTCTTGACCATTTTATCAAAGCATGCCAATATTGCTGTGAATCTGAATTTACTGTATTTAAGAAAATTGCTATAATCATAGACAAATATTCTTCATTCATTGAAAACCAGCACAGCTTTGTTTTCTCGTTTGTACTTTTTATTCTCCCCCACCCCCTTACCTGAGATTGTGCACGCAGCATCAGCAAAAGCTCCTGATTGTCTTCTTTGGGCAGGTTAGATTTCCCACAGGGTACTCGCGGCAACTCCATCTTGCATTTGTACGTTTTATTCTTACAGAAAAGGTTGACTACTTCATTGGATTCCAGACCACTCACCGCACATTCATAGAATGTCCCGTTCAGCAGAGCCACGGAAAGCCACATCACAGGAGCCACACAAGCCCCCACGGAGATTCGGATGAAGACTTTCACACAGCCCAAGCAGTTGCCTCTGGGACACAGTTTCAGAGGGTTGAGGCAACACCCAGTGAAGAGTCTCCACATTCTCGTACTGAAAAAGTACCCAAGAACTAATAAAACAAAAGCTGGGCTTAGAAGGAAAGTCAGGCCATAGAAAAAATTTTGGCTTCTGTTGCACGGACACTGGAAGGAAACCATAGAAAAGATACGCTCACCCCCAATTGTCAAGATAGCCATGAAACTGTATCCTATTGTAGATTTCTGATTCATTACAAACCTCAGCACAGATTGAAAGGCATCCATGTTGAAGATAATAATATTAAGGTTCGCACACTGTTCAAAAGTAAATCAAAATGCACAGAAGCCCACTCCACACACAAAATGCAACAACTCTGTGTACTTCCTTTATCAGACACCCAAACTGTGCAGCTGCTTCACTGAATGTTTTTCTTTGTGCTCTGCTTCTGTTTTTTTCATTGCTCCTCCCATTCTTCCTCTCTCTCAAAGTGAGAACTAGACACTGGCTGCACATACATATTTTAGACAAATGGTCTGTGATTAATCAGACCTGAAACCGGAAAATCAAGTTTAACTGCTAGAAGCTGTAAGTTACAGTAGTTTTTCTCTAATGAAAGTATAATAATGTCAAGTATTTTGCTACTTGAGCAGAAAACTATTTTTCATACAGTTTATTTTACCCACATACAGTGTGTAAAAGGTTTAAATAAACATTTTTCTGACACAACAAGGCTTTATAAAAATAGCTCAAACTTGATTATTATTATTGAATGTTACCAGATGTTTAATTATAATTTTGTACCAAATTATTTTTGTACCATTTTGAAGATATAACTCAGTACAAGACGGCAGACTACTTTACGTATGTTTTTTAGATATTATAGTGCTTAATGTTGCCCAAGCTTAAAATATATTGGATCCCACTGATGTAAAAAGGCATTTCCTAGCTGAGGAATAAATAGAAGAAAACATACAATACAAATGCAAGTTGCTTCAACAGGCTAAGTGAATTAATAATCTTTAACAGGTGGTCAATTATGTGAACTGATAACCAGTAGTGATTTTTGTGGGCATTTTCAAGTGGATAACTTTACCAAAGTGATTAGCTAAACCACTGGTGCACATCTTTCATCCTTAAGGCCCAAATCTAAACTGGGTGAATTTTTCAAACAAATACTTCCATCTTGTCAAATGTGGCGCATACTATACGTAGCTTAATGCTCAGGGGGAACTTAAATCTGGCACTAAAGCCTCTGACTATTGGAGTTAATCTTACATCACAACCACTGCTAACCACGTGTAAGAAGAACAGTTGCCATAACAAGACCTCTGACCAGTTTCAGTTTCTATGCAAAAAGTGAAGCAAAACCTTTGCTTACGTTATCAAACATGTAACTTTGTTCCATTACTAAATGCAAATCTCAACAGCGCAATAGAAAATTACAGGATACATACGGTGTACAGTATGTGCAAAATGTTAATATGGCACATACCTAATATATGACTAATTTAATCATTCCTTTTTATGTCTTTAGAAAAACAATTTTATCAACAACATCTGTGCATTGCAAAACCGAGCTGGTTTTGGGTTTAGAGAAAAAAAAACTCACATGAAGAAACAGAACAGTCTTTACCAGAAAGAGCTTCACCTTGGCAAAATACCCACAAAACATCTCAATGTCCTCTTCAGCAAACTATTACGATTGATAGATGATTACGCTACAACACATCTGACTATAACATATGGAGGTACAGTAGGCTTTATTCCTTTGCAGATGGACTCTCTTAGACAGGGCGTGCAGTGCCATCCCAGGATGACACAGAGTCATGTTTCAGATTGGTTCCTCTAAAGCACGTTAAGATTGCAATTGTTTTGCCACATTTAATTAATCATGCCATGGGATTGCTACTATTATGATTTTTTTTAAATTCCTCTTTTCGCAAAAACTGCAGACACCAGAAAATAACACTCTCAGAGAACATGACAGGAGATGTATTTTCCTATGCAACTTCCAATGCTATACATAGAAAAATACTGTTTATTACATAGTCATATGTTTCAAAGGAGTGACTCCTTCTAGTTCCTGAGCACTAAAGCAGTAGCAGACCAGTTGCCATCTTTAGTGTTCTGTCTGATGGGAAAAATGCTCACTTAAGTGATCTCACATGAGGCATGACTGATGCATTTGCCTCTGATTCGTTGGTGAAGGCAGCAGCAAACCTAGCTAATGGGTCTATTCAGACAGCTTCATCTTTAATTGGGCTAATGTCTCAATTCATACAACTTCAGGAATGTTTACAGGCTGTTAATGAAAGATACCAGTAGGTAGGACAATTCAGGCCAAAAGAACTGCTATCCAGATCCACATTTCATGCCATGCAGAGCTGGTCTAGCAGCTGTTGGCTGTTATCCCTCATCTCCGAGGGCACCTGTGAGCATCCAGTAGGATCATGACTGTAATTTGTTGCAGATGTGATTGCTTCCGTAGTTGGTTTGATACAACGGAGCTCATAGCATCGTGGAAAAAATTGTTATCTATGAGAATATGAGTTGTATTAGTTCCGCCTTGTGCCTCGTGTCCTGTGGAATGTAAACTGATGCACAGCTTGTAAAACACTTAAAAGAGAAGACAGAGTTATTGTTCGCCATCCAAGCCAAGTAGCTGTTTCCTGATTACCAAAACTTGTTGCCAATTTTAATTCCTCATTGAACTCACAGAGACACTTGAAACATAGGACAGAATCTAGAGTTGCTGTGCCGTACATTATGTACAGTATCTACTGATGGTAGGTTTTTCTTTTACATTAATCTATGTTTGTAAAAGTCTGTATTTTTTACTCATGCAGATGATTTAATAAGTATATTTCCTAGTGTGTAATGTGAGATAATTTACCACTGAATGAGTACCTTGAAAATGTTATTGATAAGAAATGTTGATGAGAACCTTTACTTTCATTAAACAACACTTAAGTATGAGAACAAAAATAATTTCCATACCGTCTTACCCATATGAAGGAACAGACAAAGATTTTCATATATTCTGAACTAACGATTATTAAATGCTCTGTAGCATGCTTACTTTTTGTTAGTTATAAAACTATGCTAAATAGAAATGCATATGAATTTTATTCTCTTACATTTTAGCAAAACAATCCATATTTCAAAGACATGTACAAATATTTTTGTCAGAAAATCATTTATATTAATCTCATTTTATAAATGTATGCATTTTAGTCAGAAGAATAAAGCTTACCACTAAATACCATTAAAATGGTATTGGTGATGTCCATGTTAGCAACACATTGAGGTACCAATCTTGAGCTCAATTCTAATTTAAAAAAAGAACACAAATTGGACAAAGTTAGAAAAATTATTATGGTGTCTCCATACTTTCTCTCATCATCCTACCATCCTGCATGAGAAACATTAATGCGCTCATGTCTGCCTCTCCTGTGCTATTGATCTTGATTCAATTTGACTTTTCCTAATGCATAGAAATGCAACTCTGAAGAAACATGAGAGGTTTTTTGTGATTTTCCATGCTGAGTAACAGTATAATATTGTTTAACAGTAATATTATTCTTATCATTAAAGGCTGCAAATAGCTTATACACTGTTAGAACAATATGGCTGGATTTTCTAGATTTTGTAAAAGATTGTATTAGAGCATTCACATTGGACTGAAATGGTATGGTATTATTTCTTAGTATACAGTGTAAATCAATTACATTGTGTATTAGAAAGCCATAGGTGGACTCAACCCATTCCATATTTTTGTATTGTTCATTAAATATACCGCATGTTAGGATATTTTTCAGTACATTAAAAAGCAGACATGGATATTAAGTGGTTTTCCAGGTTACAGAAGGATGATATTGTGAGTGCTTGTTCTAGAACTCTCTTCTCTCTCCTTGTATGTATTCAGTCTCAGTCTAGATCAGTATGTTAGTTTTATAACCAAAAGCAATTTTCCTCCAATATTCTGTGCCTATGGCTTCTTACACCAGACTTCCCTAAATTTACACAATAATTTCAAAACATCCTATTTCTGACAGCTCAAAAACTTTAATCCCTTACAATCCCTTAGCCAGCAGCCATATCACCCTGCAACTCACAACTGGCTTAACTGAAGCTAAGCAGGTGTGAGCCTGGTCAGTACCTGGATGGGACACCTCCTGGGAAAAACTAAGGTTGCTGCTGGAAGAGGTGTTAGTGGGGCCAGCAGGGGGCAGTCACCCTGCGGTCCATGTGGGTCCTTATGCCCCAGTATAGTGACCGGGACACTATACTGTAAACGCCATTCTTCGGATGAGACATAAAACCGAGGTCCTGACTCTCTGTGGTCATTAAAAATCCCAGGGCGCTTCTCGAAAAGAGTAGGGGTGTGACCCCGGTGTCCTGGCCAAATTTCCCATTGGCCCTTATCATGGCCTCCTAATAATCTCCCTCTATAAATTGGCTACATTACTCTGCTCTCCTCCCTACTGAGAGCGTTCTGGCGCACTATGGCTGCCGTCGCATCATCCAGGTGGATGCTGCACATTGGTGGTGGTGGAGGGGAGTCCCCATTACCTGTAAAGCGCTTTGAGTGGAGTGTCCAGAAAAGTGCTATATAAGCGTAAGTGTAAATAATAATAATAATTATTATTACATACTGTAGTAATCATGAGACATTGCCCACACTCATGATACAGATCTATCTGTAGCAAAAATGGGATTACACCAAATACATACTGTACACAGATACTTTTATGTGTTTACTGTATGTAAACTCATATCATACTGTACCTTTGGTCTCTAACTTATCAATGATTTCTTCCACTGAAATTCTATTTCTTCAGTCCCCAATATTTGTTGTTTATTAATAATGGAGATTAGGCATGATAGTGTATTCATAGAAGCAAAGCCAGCAGCTGTATGCCTTCAACCATATAAATCATTCTGATTGTGCTCATGTCATTCATTTTCCAATGTATGATCACAATCTCTATAATTACAATTAATTTAAATATATATGATTATTTATTATTGACAAGTAATTTGCTCGATTTCATCCTGCTCTGCTCTTTTTTCACCCAAGACCCTGTATACCAGACTGAATATTGAATAAGCTAATGTGTGAGTGCCATACTACTGTATAAAGGCAAAAGAGATTTTGTTTTGAAAATGTGTAAAATTGCAACCAAACATCTGATCAGTTTGAGGCACAAGGCGAGTGACATCGTCTTTGATATCCCGTACATACCAGTTCAGGCATCTGTTGGCAGCACAGCACCTATTTATTCATGTTTAACTCCTGAATCCAAGGCTTCTTCATCACTTCACTACAGCTGATGCCGCCAGTGTTTCAGCACCTTCTTTATCGAGCACTGTAAATGCTCATGTGTGCGGTTAGGAGCTTGTGGCTTTCTGCCGGCTAGTGTAGCCAACAGACGGATGTGTGCACATCTTTGAGTTGCTTCAGTCCCCAAAAGGCTTGCACTATCCATGTACAATGAAGGAATCTGTCTTCCCTACTTATGTCTTCAGTGTGGCACATGTTCTCATCTGTGAAGGAGGTATTTGAATGTCCTGGTCTCTGATTATTTAATAACATCTCACTGTTAGCAAAGGTATTGTTTCACAACCCACCATGTTGTGTGACAAGGGGCTAGGCACCTTCCTGAGTTGGCAAAACACTCTTTCACTCAGAAACGTGGATGGATCATGCTGGACACCTCAGTGTTTAACCACATTTGCACATGGTCATTTATATGTAAAGTAATACTTTGTGTTATTACAATAGAGTTTACCAATAAACTATACAATTTAGGTAAGTAAGGCGTTACTGTACTATATAAAATTCCATCAGGATAATTTATTTTCAAGCAGGACAGCTCTTATTACCTTATTACTGTCACGATGTGTAGTGTAGGACTCTGTGCGGGGCAGGAGTGAGAGTTACCGAAGTCCAAATCGTATAGCAGTACCGTGGTCAGGAAGGAGGGCCAAGATCCGTTATCCAGAGGGCTGAGTCCGAAAACCAAATCCAATCGGAGAGGCAGGTCCATAGTCAGTGGGAAGGCAGTATTCGTTAACCAAGAGTTGGGAGAGATTTCCAAGTCCAATTCATAAGGCAGGTCCATAGTCGGCGGGAAGGCAGTATTCGTTATCCAAAAGTTAGCAAGACAAGCAGGCGACGAAAGGGACAGCTCGGGTGAGTAGAACTCAATAGTGAGCACGGAGAGGTGAGGTGGAAAGGTTTAAGTAGAACATAAGGGGAACAGTGGTTGGATAATAGGTTAATTGGAGTGGAGAGAGCGCATTGGAATGCGGCGGCAAGTGCGTGGATACGTGGAAACTCTGACAATTACCTTAAATGAAAAGCTCACTCAATGACATAAGCCATTTTGTTTATTATTTTATTTTAATTATGCTAATAAAATTGTACCTAACTGTACCTTTCACTCCATGGGAAGAGGTTCGTTCACTGTGGCTCAGATATGAATGCAACCATTACAACTCTCTCGGGCAATCCTAAGTTCTACAGTAGGTCTGTCTCAGTGAAAGGCTTCTGATTCATGGGTAACTTCAGAAAACACTCTAAATAACCTCACAACCTGACATGGGACTCTCTAGCTTGCATAGTTCTACAGACAATCAATGGATCACTCACATCAGTAAAATCACAAACTTACATCTATATACAGTAGTATTTGGATTAAAATGTAAGTGACCACTTCGTTCACTCCTTCATTCCTATATATTGCTTTAAGTATATTTTTTTCTGGGTTATGGATTGTTATTGTAAAAAAATATAAGATGAACATACAACATACAACATACAACAAGGCACACATTGTGTTTTTATCTAAGTTGTTTTTTACAAGATCCTTCAGTAAAACAAAATTAGATTCTTGAAAGCTGCAGCTTCTGATACAAAACTTCACAGGATCATAATTAATTGCATTTTTAAAACATGGCTTTTCCATCGTCCACAAAGCTGAGAACTGAAGGATTTCCAAAACCTCCACTCTCAGATTTCACTGATACTCTGTTAACATCTTTACAAGTTTCTACATATTTATGTAGGATACTGTAGTAGTGATCAGTATTGCTAAATTTATAAAGGCCTGAGACTTTTTCCCAGGCCTTTTTGTCAGGTGTCACAATCGGAGTGGGTTGCTTTAATTCAAAAAAGCTGCTCAGATTTCGTTCGGCTAGCTTCTTTGCGTGTTCGTTGGTAGCGCTCTCAAACAGGTCATTCTCGCTTTTTGTATATGCCCTCCAGAACATTAACTGCAGGTAGCTGACAGGAGATCTGCACCGGGCCACACACGACAGCAAAAGCGCCAAGGCAGCGATGGAGGTTATCACCAGCCAACCCAGCATCTACAACAAATCACAAGTTCATATATTAGCTAGGATTTTGTGAGATGCAGTTGACTTTGTTTCTTTTTTTAAATACTGTAGGAACCCCAAACACATTCCCACAATAAAACATTCACTGACTAAGTTTGACATCAATGAAAAAAGCCCTGATAACTGCAAACTTATTAAGTACAAATGGACAAAAGAAATGCAATTCTCTGGTCGAAAGAAAACAACATTTTAAACATGGACATAAAACCAGTCCACAGAAAATGTTTGTACAAATAATTAAAACATACAGGTCAAAACATCATGACAGGTCTGGATCAGTATGGCCCCTCTGAGCATTAACAATTCCTGTCAACACTGACGCAAAGACCTGATCCCCCTCTGGACAGACTGCTGTGGGATGTTCTCTGCAGTTGCAATCAGATGGCAAAGGCTGGATCCAGCTGATGATATTGGTAAGCCGGTCCCTTGGATGTTCACTGGAATCAGGTCAGACAAGAGAGCTGGCCACTGCAATACCTCCACATTGTTTTCGTGAAATCATGCAGGTGTAATCCCAGCACTGTGCACTGTGCACTGTGCATTGTCCTGTCTGAAAACTGAAACCTCAAGATTTGGCCGGATAGCTTGCTCTTGTATCAATGACTTTGTCACTGTATCACTGATTACTCAGTAATGTTGCCTTCAATCTGCATAACAATCATTTTTATGTTAAAGGAGATTCACCCCACGTCTTCGCACTTCCACCAACCCACAAGCTGGATTCACCAATCCAATTGTTAGCTTAGTGCCCACAACCATGTCCCCAAACACACTGTCTTCTGTCACGTCTGTAAAGGGCAAAACAACATTCATCGGTGAAAATAATATTCCACCACTTTCTCTGCCCCCATTCCAGATGCTACATGACAACAAGAACATGGTAATTTTACCTTTCATCAGTCATTTTACCCCTGAAAAGACACCAAACATGCTTATCGATTTCATGTTGACATGTGGGCCATCCTGGAACTGGAAGAATCCTGGAACTGATCATGCTGTAGCCCCTACAGTCTGAATATAATGGATCTGTTCCTGTTCCTCCCAGAACTGGTACCCTTGGTTACCTGAACTAGTTCAGTTCAGATAGTTCAGATAATAAATCTCATTATCTGCGCATTTTCTCTCACAGACAGTTCAAAAATGCCAGGAACAACCAGGTGATCTTAATTACTCTTGTGGGGGCATTGTCTCCTCCTTTGCTGTTTTAACATTCAATAAAACCCAACAATGGGCATGTGGCATTTTGTATGGAATCACGTTTGATAAAGAGATGGTGAGACACTCAGTTTTAATAATGATTAGCATTAAAACATGTAGTCATCAAAACTATTAATGTCGCACAGAACTACAGTATCATCTGATTCACTGTTTTAAGTTTTTGTGTTCTTGTAAAGGGTTTTTAATAGTTTTTTAAAATATATTTCTGTAGTTTCTGGAACGTTCTGGGAAGTTCATACCACAACCTACTTTCACCTTCTGTATCACACATTTACAGTATGGTATATCCCAGTTTTACTTCTGTATTTTAACACTCATTTCCATTAAATTGTGAAAGTTTGGAACTTCCATACTAGTTTGGTAATTCCAAAATGATGCAGCTCTAACTCAGAAGAAAGAATGCATAAACCTTTTCACAAATTGATACTTTTTCACAAAAGCAGAATACAGTATAATTTGCAGAGAAAAAATGACAACTAACACAAATAATGTTGTTAATATCTCGAAATACATATTAATACATTATTACTGAAAAAAGTAGCAGTTTAGCACTATAAAGCAACCAAATAAACAAAATGAAAACCATCTATAACTATTCTGGGACAGTAATAATTAATATGTGTAATATGTACAGTAGACAGTAATAACCCTGGCGCTAGAGGAAGTTACATTGAACCGTACAATGGAAGTTCATGAAAGTATTTCGTCAGGTACAGAGGAAGTCACTTGGTTCTGCTTCGCATTTAATTTAAAAAGTTATTTATTTACATGGTAAACTTGGAAAGAGAGTTTCCTACCTGTGACTGAGCTCGTATGATCAATAATACATCTTCACTGTCAGACGGCGACATTGAAGATTTTCCGCAAGGAAGCTTGTGGAGATCCTTAAGACAAACCTCCGATTTTCCGACACAGACTTGCTTTTTGTATGATGTACTATTGAAGCCTGTCATTGCACACTCATAGTAGCTGCCGTTTAGAAGAGCAACCGCAATCCAGCTGGCAGGCGCTACCACTGCATTTAAAGTTATTTGTGTGATCACTTTAATAAAGGAGCACAGTTTTTCTTTTCGACATACTTTGGAATTATTGGTACAGGCTCCAGTAAACAATTTCCAAGTCTTGTTACTTAGGATGTATCCCAATAAGAGCAAAACGAGAGCGGGAACTGTAAGAAATACATTGCCGTAGGTGAAGTTCATTGAACTGCACGGGCATCTGAAAACAACAGTCGAAAATATCTGCTCCCCACCTGCTGTCAGTAAAGCAACTGCCCCAAAACTGAAGGTCGCTTGCTGTTTTTGGAAAATATTCAGAACCGTTTTAAATTTATCCATCTTCCACACGCACGTACACGTCAAAAATAAGGTGCAAATTCACTCATGTCTTACTAATCATGGTGGTAATCCTTTCCCTTTTGCTTTTACTAGTCAACTTTCACTTCCTGAATCACAGTTGAAATTTAGCCCAACCACGAAGCAACATCTAAATATGAATTGATTGCAAAATGTGTTTTTTTCCCTCTCCAAAATGGTTCTGTAAATTTGCAAACGTTTACATTTTATGTTTACTATTCATGTTTTATGTTTTCAAATAATTTGCAACTAATGAAAACGAAGACATCTTCCCACCACCACCACCACCAACAACAACAACAAAAAACATCAGAAGAAGAACTAATTCTGGTAGATTATCACCAGCAAGGATTTACTAGGCAGGCCTATTAAGAGATACTGTACTTTAATTTCGAGATATCCTCGTGGTATTTCTACATAGGAAGTAAATTACATGGGTTGGTATTTCTACGTACTGTAGGAAGTAAATTACATGGGTTTTATATTCAACTTTAAAGGGTTTATGAGGAAAGTTCATAAGAACAAACATAAGCAGAGAGTTACAAACCACAGTACGACATACCACTTAACTAGCTCCTTTAATTGCGAGGAGCTAATGACTAGCCATGTGTTTTTGATGCTGTGAAACTATTTTCATTTTTTTTTCCATTATCAGTCAATATTTTGTGTTTGTCATACCATTTGTTTTGGAATTTTTCGAAAATTCAGGCTTTATTTGAGAATACCATGATTATACCAGACTATATATATATCAATTTAGTACATTCTAAAACAAGTACACTATCTGCATAAAAACACTGGTCACTTTCCATCATATTCAACAGGGGTCAGCCCAACCACATTTTCTTTGCTAATCAGATTTTCTGTGTGTAGCCACAATATAACAACTACCTGAAACTTCAATCTGTGAGAAAAAACTCTGGTTCAGTTTCAGTTCAGAGAAGATCTCATATGCAAATTGAAGTGTCAGGTCAAGAGTCTTTAGCGCAAAGAACAGTATATTTTGCTTATTACATGATAGTAACCAATTACATTGTACAAGTGATGAAATACATACAAACATGGCAGTGAAGTTTATAAAGATAAGAAATCAATTTGCACGGCAACAGGTTTATAGCAATAGCATATTAGCCTTGAAGCATTGACGACCACACTGGTAGAGCCCATTGTCTATGGTCAGCAGCACACAGATGAGTACAAACTGCACCTTTATTGTCTCTCATATCTTTTAATACAGTAAGAATGTTCCATATAGGAATAAAAGCTACTACGTAGCTGGTTGTCAGTAGTTACAGTAGCTAGAAATATAAATTGAAATATGAGCACATACTGTATGTTATATAATACTTGTAATCAGTGAACATATTAAGAATGATAATTTTTCAATCTCAGGTATAAATTAGTATGCATAATGCAAGCTTTGCATACATTTCACAGTACATATACTGTTTAAAGCATTGAGACAGTTTAAACCTTTTTCCTCTCAATCAAACTTTCACTGTTTTCTCTGTGGGTTCTGCACATTAGAACATAAGAAAAGTTACAAATGAGAGGAGGCCATTTGGCCCATCTGGCTAGTTTGTACTGAGTAGTTTATTATTCCAAGGACCTCATCCAGCTGCTCTTGAAGGAATCCAAAGTATTGGCTTCAACTACGAGAGGGAACCTTGCTCCATACTCCCACAACTCTTTGATCCTAAAGACGTGTCTCCTAAATCCCAACCTACTAGATCATATCCCATTGTAGAATAACACACAAAAATCATTTCAACAAACTATAATTAACCTTTGTCAAGTCATCAGTGTAGTACAGAGTGTGATTACAATATGAGTAAGTCATCAAGCAAATCTTGATCAAAACAGGACATTGTGATAATTGCATAATAGCAAAAACCCAAATTGAACTTCTGGGATATGGTAGTCTTTGAGACATACTGTACTTTGAGACATACATTTGTTGTGTTTGCAAGAATCATTTGTACACCTACAAAAAATGAACTGTGAAACCAACTCATGCACTGCATTATTTTCTCATTTACTTTATGTGATACATTCTTCACAACACACATTGCTGGAATCAGTCATCAGTTGTGTGACAACATAGAATTTAAACATTGTTGTGACAATTCTGCTCACAGCTATTGTTCATTTGTGCAATCTACTGTAGCTCAGAGAAGTCTTTGATCTATTTCTCTATAACTAATTTACTAGTTATCATCAACACAGATCAACATATTTAATTAACTGGTTAAATTGTTAACTTTCTGCAGGCTTTTGTTTTCATCTTTGACAGTGTCATTGTATGCAGTGCCACCTACTGCAGAGGTTTGAGATTAACAATCCATGCAGCAGGAGGGGAGTAGGACGATAGTAAATCAAACAGGAATACAATTATTCTGTTAGAATGACACTTACCAAGTAAACTCCAACTGAGTTAATATTTATTGATATTTATCATGCTTGAACATTGCAGCTGATTCCTTGGTTTCTTTCAAGAAACAGCTGGATGAGATGCTGGGATCAATTAACTACTACAGTAGCTACCAAATGGCTCCTCCCTTTCATAACCTGTCTTATGTTCTTTTGCCCTTCAAATGAATTGTGGGTGAATATTTTAAAAATATATATGTAAATATACTGTACAAGAAGAAATAAAACATGCACTGATCATGTACTGTATATTGATGGTTTTAAATATAGGACCTCTCCAAATTCCCATTAGAATAATGGTCAAAGAACTATTTTTATTAGATCTTATAGAGTAGCACAGAATCAGCTTCAACCACATGACTTGGGAAATAGTTTAAGAACCATCTATGAAAATAATTGTTTACAATTTTTTTTTCTTTTCAGCATGTAGTTAGTTCCTAGGTTTGAGCTAGCAGCCCTACTGTCTATCCCAGTCTCTGACCCCTGGATGCTATTAGCTGAGAGTCCCATGAGGTTCAAAGTGATTACTTTGAAACAGTAAGGTACTGATGAAAAATAAAGAATGCAGGATTCTTCTGAGGCCTTGCAATTGGGATGGCTGCACTTTAAATCCCTTAACGAAGATCCATTGGAGGGCAAGTCTGCTGCCTGTAGCCTCTGTAATTGTTTGTAAAGCCCCTGCAATTTAAACAGAGGTCATACGGCCATAAACTTAACTTCCACTTGGGTTCTTGTGTTGTAGCTGATCTTGATGTCCCCTGGGGGCACCTGGCCAAAGCCTTCTAGGACTTTGAATATCTGAATGAAGCCACAACATAATTGTCTCTGTTCCAGTCTAAAAAGGTTCAGTCTTAGTCTGTTCCTTAGTCTTGTTAGTCTCCCTTCAGATCTGAAATTAGCCTGACTGCTGTCCTTTGTATTGCTTCAAAATTTGCATTGCCCATCTCTTAATGTGGCGAAGAGCACTGAACGAAATATTCCAAGTGAAGTCCAACTAATATACTATTATTTTTAATAAGACAGTCTGTTGATTTAAATTTTAAATTTAACTTTAACAATACATACACACATTTTGTTGGATTGTTTTATGTCTAGTTAAAGTAAGACCATCCATTTAATTTCTTACATGTACTGTAATACCTTGCACTTATTCAACTGCCATTTATATTTGCCAGGTTTTCAATATAATTATAGTAGATATAACAGAGATCAGACTGATTGGTCTTCAATTCTCTAGCTCAGTTTTAATCCATGCACAAGACTGGGAATTATATTTATAATGTGAAAGTTGCATTAAAATAAGCATCTAAGTCTTCTCCTTAAGAAGCCTCTTCAAGCCCAATGTTTCCCCATTTTCTAATTATAGAATATGTTTGTTACCTCCTTGTAATAGTTTGGTATTGAATGAAGCCCTCAAAATTAGTTTTCACTGCCACATATATTACTTCCTATACTAAACCATATTTTCCAAATACTGTTGCACCAGGCCCAACAAGATGGAGACACACTGAGACACACTGAGACACAAAGGTTAGTGACTCAATGTCTAGGCCCTGAGGAATCATTCCATTCTAAATACTGTGCGATGTTCCCTAATTGGCCTGATAGGCCCAGCCTGATCTTGTTGAGGATGGCCCCAGTGAGTCTCCAGCATGTGCAGAATGCGCATTGGCAATTGGTGGAGCTAATGCAGCAGTGCTGGAGCTCATTGGGACATAACAAATACTGTACATGTAAGATTCCTTGGACTATTAAGCAAGCAATATTTGAACAATTTAAAAGATCAATAAAAATCCATATATGGAATGTTAGATAACCCCTTAACAATTTATAGATATAATAGTTACTTTGTCACAGTATTCCCTGCTATTTTTTACTACAGGTTAATAGTTTTTGAAATGTCAGATTCATGTTTAGTCACCAGAATGCTAATTCATGTTTGTGTGTCTGCCAGGTCAATACTGTATTACCGGGACAAATGACTGCTTTTAGAGGTAATTTAATTCTGAATCTTTTTATGATTCTATTTATTTCTGTGACTTCAACAAATACAAAAGGACATTGGAAATCTGCTGCTATAAGATTGTCATTGTAAATCTCTGACTGCTATTCATATTGATAATTGTCATTGACTACTTTGACTCTTTTTGTGATTTTGGAGTCCAAAAACTGTATCTGTTATAGTAAAACCCAAGAGTTTTACAGTGGGGTTATTGGTGCAAACAGTTTAGGTATTTTCAAATAGTCATCATTTTTTATCCAATCTAATCATCATTATAATTTAATAATCGAATGAACATTATGTAGCGGAGGCTCGTACAGTATGTATCCTCGTACTTCCAAACTTTCTCCTTCAGATCAAGTCAAATCTTAAGTGTTTCCAGCAAACTCAGGCCTGAGTGCAATCACCAGACAACTGGAGTTTGATCAAAAGAGAAGGGAATACGAGACGGCATTATGGAATATGTTTAAATCATCCCCATGTTTCCTTTTAAACCTCCTTTCTTGTTTATTCTACTACATGTCCTGCACGATTCAGTGTTTTTCACGCTATAATTATTATTTGATACAATGACACACGGGTAACGATGATACTATGGGAAAGCGGATGAAAAGGAATGAAGTAAGGAAGTACCATAAACTAAATGCTGTTTTCACGGGAATTCGATAAAAAAAGACCTTGAGCAGCAGAATCTGAAACATGGATTTACTGGGTTCTCTTGTATATGCTCAACGGGAATAAAACTTGAGAACTGAAATTAACTAGGCAGGACATGAAGAAAGATTAATAAAATAAACAAAACTCATTGAAGTCAAAATTAAAGTCTTAACATTACGTGGTTGTAAATACATCTAGATGTAGTCCAAAGGACACTGTTATGTACTGTACTTCAAATATATGCTACGCAGAATGCTAATAAAGATAATATTTTGTATAGGGAATTTGGTGTCCTTTAAAATTAAAGGTGGAAGTTAACGTGGATTAAGATGAAGCCATTGACAACCTACCGACTTCACTCCAGACAAAGCCACTTAACTACCCGCTCAAAATATTTATCTTTAGTAGAGTATACTTGTACTGTATATCGCACAGCAACTTCGACATGTCCATGTACTGTATGTTTTCAAAGAGTCAACGTTAGATGGAGCTGTATCCTACTTGGAGACTTGCACGTGACCAAAGCATGGAGGCGGAGTTTGGATCTGACAGTAATCAATACAATGTAAACGTAAACTGGATTAGACACCACTGTCATAGAAATAACGCTTTGCCCGGTACCTTCTGCCTTGCTTATGAGTATCATTACCGGAAGAAATGCAGACGATCAAATGACAAGAGTCATTTTCTTTAGAAAGGAACGAAAACATTAAGGACAATTCAACAACCTTTATGAGGTAGGTAAATCCTGCAGGACAGTTTGCTGCTGGCGTGAATATGAGAAGGTGAATGTGAGTAAGATACAGTTGCTGTTATTTACTCAGGCAGTATAAGGCATTCAAGGTCAGAGAGACATCTAGAAGATGCAGTCAAGTTTAGTAAAAATGTAGTTAGCGAAGGGCTGAACTTGAATTATTTTAGAATACATTTTTAGCTGCCTTATCCGTGTCTGAGCTGCCCTGTTGCTAAGAAACCTTGGACAGCACCTTAGGTTCAAAAGTGTAGGGAACACGCAGTCGAATCATTTTGAGCCGTACAGCTCGCTGCAGAAGACCGTAACCTAGGCAATACCATGTTATCAGTGTGAAATACGCTTATTGATAAATGTGCATTCTATTTATAATCAGCGATGCGCTAATCAAAAGGACAGAAGTCTTTTATTTATTCTAATAAGGAAATATTATTCAAGAACGGAACGTACTGTACCTTTTAGATTATTTTAAAAAACCGTGATAGTCTACATTATTTTGGTCTTTAAATCACGCGCTGAAATCACACTGAAATATAAAATCAGGTTTTTAAAAAGATTGTTTCCAGCAAAATATTATATTGTGGCAATTTGGTGACCTTTTCCTCGCAAATGCTGGTATAATGTACTTAACGACGTTAATTACAGTGATTTATGATCGTGAATAAAATTTGATAAAAGAATGGATGATCGACAGATGAATAAATCTTTCCATACTATATACAGATGCATATACATAGACGTTCTATTCACCTTGTGCTTGGGATTCTGATTTTCATCCTGTATACGTTTTTTAGCATGTTCTATATTTTGACTAACAATAACTCTACTAATAGCGAAAAGCACCCCTGCACTCACCTTTACAATGTTTTATGGAAAGATGAAGTATTTTAATGTTTTGTTATGTCTGACCATGATCAGTACCATCCGAGTTTACAGGAGACAATGCCTGTTACAGGAGTGAGCTGAATACTCCTGCGATAAGGGTGTCCCGCAGTTGCTGTGATTGGCTTGTTCTGGGCAGAGTGCTATAGTGTTCTGTAGTTTTTATATTTATATTTGCATTGCCATCATTTAGAAATGTATAGGAACAAGTAAAAGGTTTATTCCATGCTGAAAAGTGAAGAAAGAAAACACATTTTGGCTGTGGAGCCTTCTTCAGGTGTATAAATGTATTACCTGATTTTGTTATGCCACACGCTAAACTATATTAACACTATCAGTCTTTCAAAAATCAGCAGTCTGAAAACCATATATTAATTGAACAATAACACTTGTACTGTAAAAAGAACTACATTGTATTGCAACAAGCTTCTGAAATAATAAGATCTAGGTGTACAGTATGCTTGGCATTGTTCTGAACTGTGTATTTTGTGTTTTATTATAAATCCAATTTATCCAGATGTTTCACTCTAAATCTGTTTTTGCAAAGAGAGTGTCATTCAGTAGTTTCACTTTGGTTCAGGTTTTCAGTCAGTTGGTGTTTCCACTGTAGGAAACTGTTCATTAGATTATTAGCAGGTGATTGATCTTGTGCAGCTGTACATTTTGAAATACCATAGTTGTAAATGATTTAACATATGCTGTTTTTTTTTGGCTTGTTTGCTACCTTATTATTTTTTGTTCTTTCAGAATCTGTTGAAAGGAGGCGGTTTGTCAGTGTTTGTTTGTGTTGTTGTTCTAGTTCACTCGAATACTTAGAGTAAGCAAACATGGGCTGACAGCAGTCTGCTGTCTGATGACACTAAACATACTGCAGGCTGGTACAGTGACTGCCCCTCAAAAATCAAATAAAATGATACCAAAGGTCAAAGACCACAGCTCTGGGCACATTCCGGTTGTAGAAACAGGTATGCTGTGTTCAGAGATAGTAATTTCTGTTGTACATAATGCTTGAATTCTTATATTTGTTACATGGAATTGTTGTGGGCAGTTTTTTTAACTTGACTAGAGCTTTTAATCTATTGTTTTCCAAATCTATATATAAAATATATTTTTAAGGTATCAACAGAACAGCAATGCTTATGTACTGTACATGTTTTCAGGCTACAAAAATCAAGCTTGGCATTGTTTTTGCAACTACTGTATTCGATGGAGTTTGCAATTTCATAGCTTTGAAATTGTTAAAAACAATAATCAAAATGTTTCCTACTGCCATTTTTAGAACATTATCATGTTACCTTTGTCTGAATGCATATGATTTTTGAAAAGTGTATTTTATATGCTGTAAAAACCTTGCTTTTGTGGACAGCCTTCTGTATGTGGTATAATCTATGCTGTTTCTACTGAGGAAATTCATGTGATTGCACAGCAGGGCCTATGCCATTAATCTACTTTGTGCAGAGCTTCAACCATTGCAACCAAAGGTGTATCCATCACATGTATAATGGCAGCAACTGTTCACTTTGGGATTGCACCAAAGCCTTTAAATTAAGGATGTAGAACACAAAGTTGGCTGAGTGGGCTGTTCTGGAAGAGACATTAAACCAAGGTCTTGACTCTTGGAGATATTTTGTTTGGAGAGCAGTGGTGCTGATTAGGGTTGAGTAACCCTCTGGAAAATGTACCGCGATACATACTGCGGTATACCACAAAGTATTTTTACTGTTTATATATGGAGACTCTCTCATAGTTTGATTTCATGATTAGTAAAGCATATTGAGTTGTATAGAAAATAAAGTAATGAAAATGATGTTGTTTTGTTGTTTTATTGGAACCAAAGAACTAGAAATAACACTGAATAGTGTAACAGAACAACTTAACAACATGCAGATTTTTGTCAATCATAAATAAATGATTAATTTTTTTTCACAAGGTATTGGAGGTTAACTTTGCTTAGCAATATAACAATGTAAAATTCAAAATATGACAGGTGCTTGTAAGTTGTAACAGTTTTTCTTTACAATTACTAAAGTTAACAATGAGTAAACCTTATGAAACATATTTAGCATGTTCGATTTCCCTTGGCTATTTCATCTTAAACTTCAAAGAATCCTCAATACCTGTTTAAAACATTGCTGAGATAAGACATATATTGCCTTTGTATATTGTCAGTATATTGACTTAAACGGCTTAAGACAATCTTGCTTGCAAAAAATAAAAAAAATCAAAGCATGTCTCATGGTAGTAATGGAAATAAAAACATTTAAAAACAAGACTAGAAGTTCTTCCCTACTAGAGTTACAGTAGAATCAGAAAAACTAGAAAAAACAGCACATGTTCAATGGGTCATTGGGAATACCCGTATCGATGAAAGTCAAGGTACACTAGTTCTGAACCAATCAGCTGCGATTATTTCCGCGTGACTTCCGAAAAAACGTAATATTTCTAAATTTACTAGTCAATGATATGCGGGAAATACCTTTAGTACTCACTCTTTTACAGTTAACGACTTTTTTATCACGGTCATTTCGTTCTTTGGATCAAATTTGATTTTATGAATATAAACAGTTCAAAATCTTTGTTAAAATCGAAAAAATAAAACCGCTGACGGAAATTACCGAGCGTGGATTCTGTGGATTTCTCAGCAGGTTGTTGCAGCATTTTAGTGGAGAATGAAGTGGATTCCCACCTTTATATAAATATTTTGTGATCCTCTGGGATAAAGCACTATGCAAAAGCAATGCCTCTGTCATTATGGACGTTATATCCATAACTGGTTGACTGTAATATCTAATTTGCCTTCTCCAGTACTGTTGCATAATTGCTGCTTGTGTCCGTTATGAGCAGTTATTAGAAGTTGCAAGGACAACTTTCTGCTAACATCACGATTTTGCTAAGATGACGCTTTTAACTTATAGTCAAGTATACAGGAGATTCCAGTATAACTATAGATGAGAAACTCCAGACGACTGATCAGGATCAACCTATTGGTGATATCCTGAGTAATATATTTAATAATAATTTAAAATTAATCACAGCAAAGTTAAATACCTCTAATTCCTCAGTTCAGATGCTTCCCATTTTTATATAAGAGGGAAAGTACCATTTTTCACATTAAAGATGTTATAATACCTTTAGACCTTAATACCTTACTATCTCTCATTATACAGTACCTATACCACCTAGCCCAGTTTCTGACAGGAGGTCCCAGAATATTCTACAGAAAATTCTGTATGCTGACCATCCATCCCTGGCAATTTCCAAACCAAAAAACCCAAAAACTCTAAGTCAGTTAACAACACTGATACTGTAGATGGATTTGTCTCCAAATCCTTCCTAAAGTTAAGCAATGTTGCTTAGATCTTCATCTATCACCCTTTCATAAAACAAGTCCTCCTATTCTGAGAAAATGTCCAACATACCCTGCTCATCACTAACCACCTCACCATCCTTTCTCCTCATCCATAAAAAACATGATTTCCTCTGCACCTGAATAAACAGATGGTATCATTTATCTGTGAGCTTCGCTCTTAATTGTAAACACAAATCTTATCCTCCTAGCATTACTGCAGTTCACTGCTAATAGTCAAGTCAGGGGTAGTTAAATATACATCTCCTAAAGTCGGAGTTTCTTCAGTTTCCCATGCTTTCTTCCTTTAGTCAATGTAGATGAATCCCAATGGCTGAATCCCACCTGTCCAGGAGAAGGGTTACATGTACACATACAGTATACTGTATAAATAATCAAGATCTGTAAAAAATACCATTCTCTGCACTGCCTATGCTGCAGTCTTCTTGTTTCCCAACAATAATGCTACTGTACTTCTTAAGAACGTACTCCCCTGCATAAAGACCATTACTGGTCCATTCAATTGTAAACTTGTCATTTTAAAAACAAAGAGAAAAGTTTTATGTATAAAGGAACAAAAAATACATTTAGTTATATTCGGCAGGCCTCTAACATTAAAAAGTGGTAAATACAAAATCAGAATCCCCCATAGAAGAAAAAAAAGAACCTCATGCTTGTAAAAACATCCAAGGCAAGGAGACGTAAAAGAGTGTTCCCTTTTTTCCCTAAACAAATCACACACTCTTCAAAGAATCAGC